TCAACTTGAGGAATCCTATTTGCATTAAGTGAATAGAACCCAGAGATTCTACTCAATATATTAGGAAGCAGGGCCTGGGTTGTAACTCAGTGATAGAGCATTTGCCTAGCACACATGGAGGCACTGGGTTTGATCCTCAGCATCACATAAAAATAAATAAATAAAATAAAAGATATTGTGTCCAACTACATCTAAAAATATATATTTTATACTTACACACACACACACACACACACACACACACGCACATACACACACACACACGGAAGCACATGGCACTACCCCACAGCAAAGATTTACCTATCCCTAAATGTCACTAGTGCTGAGGTTAAGATTCCTAGAGCCTTTTTCTGTGTTCCTTCACTATCCCTTGCCTTCACAAGGCATTGCCTCTGGTGTGATTAAAGTGTTAGGGGAGCCACTGCAAATTTACACCAGGAAATTTTTGTTTCCCAGATCCATCCAACATTTCAGAACTATAAGGATAGCCCTTTCTGGTGGAGAACAGGGATGGACATTTAATGGACTCTTGGGGTGGAACCTGGTGGAATTTGTGTAGAGAAATACAGGAACCCTCAGTCCTCGATGTAGGCATTGAAAGTGAACTGTGGCTTCTAGGAAGCTGGAGTTAAGACATGTCTTTTTAAGGATATTGCTGGTAAGGCAAAACTCTACCTTTATGCACTTGGGGTTTTTCAGCTGAGCCTATGAATTAGATTGACATAGATAGATCAACAAGAGAAAAGTATACCAATTTTTTTAATATAAGTTTGTGTTACATGGCACAGGAGCCTTCATGAAGAAGTGAAGACACACAAATGCAAATAGAGCTGAACACTTACATGCTGAATTGGACAAAGAGTAGTAGAGTGTGAAAATGTGATAAGGGCATGGGCCAGGATCAGTAATTGGGTAAAGAAGTAACTAGGAAGATAAGGACTAATTCAGTGTGATTTGTTTGTACAGATTCCTGTGGCCTCAGTTCCCCATCCTTAATGATAAAAATAACACTTAGTTTCTGGTATAGGGAGACATCTTTCACATGGGAATTTTTCATCTCCTGCTTTTAAAAAGAAGGAAGGTCAGTGTGATCTTTTTGCAGATGGTCATTTTCAAGTGTCTTTAACTCAAAACAGTCAATATGCTACAGTGGCTTATTTTGAGGTAGCATGTTCTAAACTCCTTTGGTATAAAAGTAATACATGAATACATGGTTGTAGGGGAAATTATCAAGGGTGATTTAATTTATAGATATTAAGAGAATTTGAAAACATTTTAGATTGACCATAAAAATAATTTTGGCTACAGTTATTTTTTACATGAAATCAATTATGAAAAATTATCACTTGCTCAATATCTATTATTCATGTCATTAAAATGCCACAGTTTTGTGTAAAATTTTATTGCAACACTAAAATCTGTTCACGAATTTGCCTTTTTACTTTTTTTTTTCTTTAAGGTGATTAAGAGTCCTTTTAAAAAGGGGGGGTGGCCAGGAGATGGAGAACATTGTTTCTACCTGAAATCAATTTTTTTTCCTCTGTTGGAATGAAAATCCTAGTTACAAGAGCAGGGGTGAGACACAACCCAAACATTAATCTGTATCCTTGAAAACTGCAGATAAATATAAAATATAACTGTTATAATGACCTCATGTCAATACCGATATTAGTTCTGATTAGTACCCATAATTACCTTAGACCTTTCACCACCTAACCAGTATAAACCCAACTTGTTCAATATTACAGTGTGGGGCAATAAAGTTCTCTGCGTTACAATAAAGTGCTCCAAGGTTTCATGTCTGTAAAAAAAAATCACTGAATGATTCTCACCCTTCCTTCTACCCTCCTAGCTTTGACAAATGTCTGGATAAAACAGGATATTATTATGTTGAAGCATATGGAACATTAATGGTTTGATTAAAAACTTTTAATTTATAGGTAGTTATGTGCTGAATTAGAAGTCAAATCCTAATGTTCTCTCTGCCCAGTATACCTTTGCTTGAAGTGTATCTAGGGCCCCTTGAGTCTTTTTTTTTTTAAGAGAGAGAGAGAGAGAATTTTAATATTTATTTTTTTAGTTATCGGCGGACACAACATCTTTGTTTGTATGTGGTGCTGAGGATTGAACCTGGGCCGCACGCATGCCAGGGGAGTGCACTACCACTTGAGCCACATCCCCAGTCGCCACTTGAGTCTTAAATAATTCACAGAGTAAACTAGAACATTACATTCCTCTGTTTAACATGTTTAACCATGACAAACTCTTATGATAAAATAACAGTTTAGTCAAAGCCACTTAATGTAGTACCACTTGGGAGTAAGCTGAAAAGGTCGTAGGTAGAAAGACCAAGAAATTCTTGGGGAGTAACTAACAATATTTGTTTCACATTTGGGGGAAAAAATAAGTAGTCATTATTAAATCAGCTGCCTATAAGATTCTCAACCTTTTACCCCACAGGGCCTTGATGATAATGTTTTACTTCACTTCTTTTTTAGTGCTGAGTTTTTTTATCATAGTACAGATGTCAGACAGTGATTCAAAAGCCTCCTTAAGAAAGTTTTCTATTTTTATTTTTAAATATTTCAGAGTCATGGTGCTTCAGTTCAGATCTCATTTTTGTAGTATTACATGGAATCTGTTCTTTAATACATTGTATTTAATTATATTGTAGATATTTCTAATAATGTGATTTTTAAAGAAAAAGAAATGAAGGTGTTTTGGAGTAAGCTAAAATATGCTGTCTCTGCCATGTCCTTTCTACCCATTATTTTTCTTATAAATGGGCATTTATTTATTTATTGTACCAGGGATTGCACCCAAGGGCACTTAACCACTGAGTCATATCCCCAGTCCTTTTTATTTATTTTGAGACAGGGTCTTGCTAAGTTGCTTGGGACCTTGCTAAGTTGTATTTTGCCTTTACTTCTGACCCCTGTTCTTGTTGATTCTAATCATGGGTAACTTAGACTATGAGGTATACTTATGCTTATTTTTGGCTTTTAGTTTATTTAACAATCATTTGTTAGGCACCTGCTAAATGCTAGAATCTGAAGACTAAGGCCAACCCTACACTCAGGAATTTCACATTGTATGGTTCTAGTGTGAGGGATTTTTAAAATAATTATAATACATTGGTAAATGTTGTAGGCAAATGTGGTTATCTTTAGATATACAGAGAAAAAAAAGTAACTCTGTTTATAAAGAAAACTTGACCAAGAAGACTTTATGGAAATAACATTGAATCTCAGTCCTAAAAGGAGTAGAACTTCATCAAGCAGATATTAGGGAAGAGATGTCTTCACCAGAAGGAACTATGTTAAGAAAGCCTTGGAGCTAAGTTGGGAATGTGAAAGAATGTTATAAGCAAAGGAGAGACACATGGTCATCAATTCTTAGAGTAATTGAACCATTTTACTCTATCTCAGCGTGGAAAGAGCTTTTTGAAGATGAGGAATTGAAGAAGCAGTGATGCTAATAGGCTTAATAGCAAGAGTAGCAACTACAGCTTCAGCAGGGATAGGTTCATACAATGCCACATTAGGATTTCACATGCAAGAAAGAACCAGTTAAGGGTCTTAGAGGCATGACATGACCCAATTCAAATTTTTAAATAATACTTCTGTATGATGTATGGTGAATTGCAGGGAAGTAAGAATTGAGGAAGGAAACAAGTTAGTAGGCTATTGAAACAACTTACATAGGCTTGAGGGCCTTGGTCAAGAAGGTGGCAGTAGAGACGAAGAGAAGCACATACATTTGCGATACATTGGTATGTAGTATGATAACGCATGAAAACATTTGAATATGATTAAATTCTTGGCAGTATCCATGAGATGGATGGAGAAGGAGCCATTTAGTGAAATAGAAAAGGTCCAAAGACAGATGGGTTAGAAGGTCTCTGCTGGATATGGGCTCATTGAATTTTTCAGTGCCCATGAGATCTGTAAACAGAATTGCTAAGTTCTGGAACTGAGAAGACAGGTATACATTAGAGACACCAAAATTAGAGCTGTTATCAGAGAGATGGTATTTAAAACTAAAGGTGTATATGAGACTGCTTAGAAAATGGAGTATATAGTTAAAAAAAAAAACACTCTGAGAGCATTGTGTAGTTCTAACACTTAGAAGCTAAGAAGCAGCAGCCAGTAAAAGAGGCAAAGAGAAACCATACATTAAGGAGAAAATTATGGGAGTCCACAGGTTTTAAGAAGACAGAGAACAAAGTGCAGCTTGCAGAGACAAATAAGATAGAAACTAAAAATTGGTGACTTAAGAAAAGCAGTTTGAAGAGCATGAAGGGGACAGAGGTCAGTGTGGTATGAGTTGAAGTATGATTTTCAATTTTAAAAGTGAACATTCTTTTCTCCATATTGAGATATTTGACTTTGAAGAGGAGGGAAAATATGAAATTGTAACAGCTGCAGGCTTTAAAAATGCTAGCTCTGGGTGCAGTGGTGCACACTTGTAATTCCAGTGGCTCTGGAGGCTGAGGCAGGAGGATCACGAGTTCAAAGCCAGCCTTAGCAAAAGCAAGGTGCTAAGCAACTCAGTGAAACCCTGTCTCTAAATAAAATACAAAATAGGGCTGGGGATGTGGCTCAGTGGTTGAGTGCCCTAGAGTTAATCCCTGGCACCCTGCCACACACACCAAAATGCTACCATTTATCTTGGATTCAAGTTCTAGCCATACCTTTTATCAGCTAAATATCTTGGGGAAATTTAAAACTCTGGAAACATGATATTAATTGTACTGTGTCATAGGATTATTGACTATTAGGTGAGATAACAGCATAGTATTTACTAGTGTTAAGTACTCATGCAATGTTAGCTATTATATATGTGCATGATATTTATAGTGATATGAATCTGTATATAAAAGAATATTTCATATAGCATAAGTGCCTGAAAAGAATTAGGTTTTAAATTGCTAAATACTGACCAGATATTTTTCATTTAAGTAGCTTCACCCATGGGATTTAAAACACATTCAGAGTACATTTTCTCTCTTGGAAGCATTTTAATAGCTTACTTTTTGGGGTGCCAAATTTACACAAAAGCAGTTTAGCCAAGCAGTGCTATTGATGATTTCTTCTTTATCTAAAAAAGATTTTAAATATATTGTGTTAAAAAAGAGGAGAGTTCGAAGCCGGTAGAAAATCTTGAGAGTCAAATCTGGCCACCAGAGGGTGCTGGATAGCCAGCAACCTGGGCCTCTCGTAGAGGCTGAAATCTTGCCCTCCTGAGAGGGGTTTCTGTAGATGCCTCTGTTCATATCCATGGAGTGCAGTAGCCTCGTGTTTTCTGAGTCCCAAATACCATTGATCTGAAGATGGCCCATCTTCTTGACTCTTCAGGACCAATGATGCAGGTGGAGGCCTTCCATCTTCAACAAACCTTTAAAATTCCTGAGTCAAACAATTTAACTTTATTTACACCCTGCTTATTCAAAATTTGCTTTGGTAACAATTGAGTTAATTTAGGATTATTTAATTTTATTCCATTCTACTGGTTGCCCTTTTGTTATTACTAATCCTTAGGCATTCTGTAAGTTACTTAATTAATATGATTTAAAAGATTTTACAGAATAAGTTATGTTATTCAATACTTGGTCACTCTGCAAGGTTAAAAACTCATTACAATAAAGTGCCTTTTTGTTGTTTGTTTTGTTTTGGTTTAATATTTAGAGCAAAGATTTGCCAAGGGAAAAACAATTTCTGGTGATTGAAAATTAGAAGGTAGCTAACAACCAGAAAGCTACCTCAATATTTAAGAGTTCTTTCTCCTTTCTTTTGACAAAATGGTCCAGTACAGCTGGCAGTTGTGACTAAAAATGGACTGTGACAGTGAGGCTAAAAAGGCCTTGTAGTAGGTACAGTTGAGATTAGGTAGTAAACATACCTATGACAAGTAGGTATTCTTGAGAAGAAAGCAACAGTTAGGGCTGTCCATCTCTGCCTATTTCTAATGGCTGAGAGTGATAAGAGGATACCTGTGGGTTGGTGGTTGCCAGACTGGGGTGGGCTTCACAGGGTTACAAGATCATGTACTCTGGTTAAAAGAACTATAGCAGGAAAAGGTTTGGTCATATGGACATTCCTAGCTGAAAACAGGCTAGAAGAACTAAGATAAATAGGGGCATCCAGAAATGTGCTGTTATGTGAACTAACTTGCAGTATTTGAGTGTGTCTGAAGGTCATTCCTTTGCATGCAGTGTTTTTCAAAATTAATTTCTCTCTTTCTGGTATTGCACCTCTACTCTGAATCTAATAAGGCAAAGAAAATTTCACTCAACAGTATTCTTGTTTAAACATGTTTTAGAGAATTCCAGTATTTGTTGGTACCAGATACTGGATACTCATACTAGGGCTGATCCATCATTTGTTTGGGATTGGGAGTTACATGACCTTGTCTGTGAATATAAAACAGTATCAGAATAACTATCCAGTAGATATGCTAGTCTTTGAATAATGGTATGTATCAGTCACTTTCTATCTTAAGGAAAGTTCCTCAGGAACACATTGAATTTAGTACCCACATAGCTTTTATTATTTTTTCCACAGGAAGTAAACTAACAGTATGTCTTTCATTTGGTAGTAATTAAAGATGCATTTTTCCTTTTATCCTTATTAAAATGGACTTTTTAAAGATGTAGTTGAAATTTCATCCTGCAAAATAAAATGTAAAGATTTACTAGTAAAACTACTTCATATTAATGTATATTATTCAAACCAGAGCTCAAATTCTGATCCCCAAGTTTCCACTCAAGACCACAGTCTCCTGACTTTCCAGTACGTAGATGCAAAGTGAGATCAGTTACTCATTATAAAGTACCCCAGCAACAGTCTCTGCCTCCAATTCCATGTCTCCATTAGTAGTGAGGCCACTCAGAAAGTAGGTTTCTGGCTCAAGGGAAGATGAAGCCAAAGCTTTGCTTCCTCTGGGAGGGGCAGTAGCTGGATTGCACCTTGCCCTGACAATTTCTGGGAAACTTGGGAAGGCACTCATTTTTATAAGATAATATTAGAGGTAAAATTTTAGTGCCAAGTTCTCTATTAAATTGGTTGATACCAAAAAACAATTTGATACCATTTTCAGACACTCCTCCCCACAAAGAAAATAAAGCCTTTGTAGGCCATTCATTTACTATCGTCATCTAAGTGTGAAAATATTAGTTTGTAATAAAATGTCTACTCTAAGCTATTATGTTTGCAAATGACACTGGCATATTACTTTCTTGTCTTTATGTTCAGTCTAAGATGATGACATAACCCACAAACACTACTGTCTGCTCCACATACCAGAATAACGAGAGTTTGAAGCATCTACTTTTGTGGATTTTTTGGTGCATGTTAATTATACACAATAGTGGTTTCATTGTGGCATATTTGTCTGTGTATATAACATAGTTTGATCAGTTTCCCTCACAATGCCTCCTTTGCCCTCCCTCCTCCCTCCTCCAATCCCCTTCCTCTCCTTTAAAGGACTCCCTTCTGTTTTCATGAGTCCCCCCCCTCCCTGCCTTTTTTTCTTTTTCTTTTTTCTTTCCTTTTTTTTCCTCTAGCTTCCTTATGTGAGAAAAATCTCATGATCCTTTTCTTTCTGAGTTGGGCTTATTTCACTTAACATGATAGTCTCTAGTTCCATCCATTTTCCTGCAAATGACATAATTTTTTTATTTTATTGGCTCTTTTTACTTATGTATGACAGTAGAATCCATTTTAACATAATTATACAAGCATGGAATATATCTTATTTTAATTCTGACCCCAGTACATCTCCTTCCCTTCCCTTTCCCCACTCCCTATTTCCTTCTCTCTATTGAGATTTCTTCTACCATTTACCTAGTTTTTTTAAAATTAATTTCTTATGGATGTACACAATTATGAGATTGACTGTGGTGTATTCACTCCCTTTCTTTCATTTTCCTTTGTCTTATCCACTGAACTTCTGTTCCACACCCCACCTCATTGTGGGTTAACTTCTACATATCAAAGAAAACATTTGACCTTTGGTTTTTGGGGATTGGCTTATTCCATTTAGCATGATAGTCTCCAGTTTCATCCATTTACTGACAAATGCCATAAAGTTGTGCTTTATGACTGAGTAATATTCCATTGTGTATGTATACTACATTTTCTTTATCCATTCATCTGTTGAAGGGCACCTAGGTTGGCTTCATAGCTTAGCTATTGTGAATTGAGCTGTTTTAAACATTAATGTGGCTGTGTCACTGAAGTATGCTGATTTTAACTCCTTTGGATATATACTGAGAAGTGGGAACACTGGGTCAAATCATCCCTAGTTTTTTGAGGAATCTCCATACTGCTTTCCAGAGTGGTTACACCAATTTGCAGTCATACCAACAATGTATGAGTGTACCTTTCCCCCTACATCCTCACCAACATTTATTGTTACTTGTATTCTTGATAATTGCCATTCTGTATGGAGTAAGATTAAATCTCTTTGTAGTTTTAATTTGCATTTCTCTAATTGATAGAGATGTTGAATATTTTTTCATAAATTTGTTGACCCGTTCATATTTTTCTTTTGAGAAGTGTCTCTTAAGTTTCTCTACCCCAAATGACTAATTTTTGTTCTCCTTTCTGCAGACATACTGAATTTTCTTTATCCATTCATCTGTTGATAAGTACATAAGGCTGGTTTTAGAACTTGGCTATCATGAATTGTGCTGCTATATACATGCATATATTATGTTATGCATGTATCTCTAAGAAGCATTTACTTTTGAAAATTGGCATCTCACTCATAGGACACATTTAAGTTAATAATTAGCTAGTTTTATGTTCCTTTAGTATTTTTTTCATTTACATTTGTAGCATTTATGAACTTATTTTTTTTAAGATTTTATCTCACTCCAGTCAGAATGGCAGCTATTATACATACAAACAATAATAAGTGTTGGCGAGGATGCAGGGAAAAAAGTATATTCATACATTGCTGATGGGACGGCAATTTGATATAGCCAATATGGAAAACAGTATGGAGATTTCTTGGAAAATTGGGAATGGAACCACCGTTTGACCCAGCTATTCCTCTCCTCAATCTGTACCCAAAAACTTAAAAACAGGATACTACAGGGACACAGCCACATCAATGTTTATAGCAGCACAATTCACAATAGCTAAACTATGGAACCAACCTAGATGCCCTTCAATAGATGAATGGATAAAAAAAAATGTGGCATATATACACAATGGAATTTTACTCAGCAATAAAAGAGAATAAAATCATGGCATTTGCAGGTAAATGGGTAGAGTTAGAGAAGATAATGCTAAGTGAAGTTAGCCAATCCCAAAAAACCAAATGCCGAATGTTTTCTTCAATATAAGGAGGCTGATTCATAGTAGGATAGGGAGAGAGGGAACATGGGAGGAATAGGCAAACTCTAGATAGGGCAGAGGGGTTGGAGGGGAATGAAGGAGGCATGGGGTTATTAATAATGGTGGAATGTGATGATCATTATCCAAAGTACAAGTATGAAGACACAAATTGGTATAAATGTATTATATATACAACCAGAGATATGAAAAATTGTGCTTTATATATATAATAAGAATTGTAATGCTGTCATATATAAATTTTAAAAAGGGTTTTTTTTAAAAGATGGACACAATATCTATATTTATTTTATTTTATTTATTTATTTTTTATGTTATGCTGAGGATCGAACCCAGTGCCTCACATGTACAAGGCAAGCTCTCTACTGCTGAGCTATAACCCCAGCCCTTTATGAACTTATTTTTAAACAAACATCAATGAAAAGAAATGGGCAAAAGCTGTCAGCATAAGTTTCATTCAATTAGTGGTTTGCATAACACTGATTATTATTAAAGTAGGCTTGGATTTTGTTTAAACATTTTCACAAGAGCCTTCCTATTCTTTTTTTTTTCTTCTTCTTCTTCTTCTACCCTTTTAAATACCTGAATCTTTTCATGGAGTTTTAATTGAATTTGAACATTTGTCTTTAGTAACTGAGAAAATGAAAATATATTTCAGCCAAAAACCATACAATTTTAAGATTGAGGATGCTAAAATGTTACCCATTGGTAAATTTTATTTTCTAAAGCAAATAAGAATGAAGAACTTTATTTTATTTATTTTTGCTCTTTAAATTTTTATTAAAACACATTTGCTGTATTTGGAGTTCATCTTTTATAGGTAGCTATCAAACCATGATTCTTATTCTAGAGTGTTTTTTCAAAATCTACAGATTTAGATGCTTCAAAACTAAAGCTTTTAGGAATCCTATTTATTTTGAGGTGTTGCCTCCTTACTAAAAGTATTGTATTATTGTAATGATTACAAAATATCCTAATAATTATATTAGGATATCCATTGCAATCTGAATTTTGTGATTTATAGTTTTTAGCTCACCTTTATTTTAAAACTATTTTATAGATTTAAAAAAGTGAATTTTTACATCTTTGTGAAATGCAGACAATTAGTTCTTTGTCAAAATAAATGTATTACCAGACAAACAGAATAAACATGCAATGGAGCATGAGACCATCCTGGAATAAAATTAATGAGATATGTGGAAAATACCTTAATTTTCCCAGATACTCTTTTTGCTTTACTTCAATTACAAATTTATCTACTTTACCTCTACCCACCCACCCACACACACACTATTGAAAAGAACTTTCTGTTACTGCAGAATTGACGCTAGAGTTCACAGTAGGAATCCCACGTTCTAAAGAAAGTCACCAACAATTGAGTCAAGACACACCTCCCTCCAGAAATTAATCACTTACTCTGTAAATATTTATTAAGCCCCTACTGTGTTCCAGGCAGTATTCTAAGCACTGGGAATATAGTTGTTTACAAGACAAATCCTTATCCTGATGGAATTGACCATCTAGTGGAAGGGAAGACAGTAGCTCTCTCTTTACCTAGATTAAAGTCAAGTGAGGGGACTTTCAGAGAACCATTCACAAAGAATGGTGGTGTCCTTTAGAAAAGGAGGCTGGCATCTGCCAGCTGCCTACTAAGCTAGTTAAACCTGTACATCCACTGACCTATCACTAAAACAGAGCTCAGTGAGCAAGTTTCTAGGCATTCTGGGAGGAGAGGTGGTTTATTAGTGTAGACACTCAAGCCTGTTTCTCTCCGGAAAAGTTTTGCAGGTAGGAAGACTTTTGTAGGTAGAGCTAAGGCCTGCAGGATAACAGGACCATAGTGTACTATGAAGAAGAGCCAAGGAGACTTCTCACCTTCCATAGGGCCCTGTGGTCCCAGGAGAGTGTGAAGCAGAATCTCCATGATCTTTGTGCTCTAAAAGAGGAGGTCAGAAGTGATAATGCTGCACAGATAGCTTCCAGGCCAACTAATATAATAAGATTATAGGCCAAACTAGAGGAGGACTAGGCTGCTCCTTTCCACCAGGAAAATACTGACCACATCAGAAAATATACAGATTTTCTCCTTTTGTGCACACACCACAAATAATCACCCACACCACAGGAAGGCATGGGAATCCTTCCTCACTGACAGTCATCATTTACCTGTCTCTTTTCCAGCACCCAGCAACAGAGGAGCTAGACCTTGGAAAGGAAGGTACTTCATTTAGCCCATGCTGACAGGATGGGGCAAGATTTGTATTTAATATGAAATTAAAGTTAATAATTGCTCTGGACTTTGAATA